CTATACAGAGCGAGCTCTCCCTCACACTGCAATCACACTATACAGAGCGAGCTCTCCCTCTCACAATAGATCATACTATACAGAGTGAGCTCTCCCTCTCACACTGCAATCACACTATACAGAGCGAGCTCTCCCTCTCACAATAGATCACACTATACAGAGCGAGCTCTCCCTCACACTGCAATCACACTATACAGAGCGAGCTCTCCCTCACACTACAATCACACTATACAGAGCGAGCTCTCCCTCACACTACAATCACACTACAGAGCTCGAGCTCCCTCCTCACAATAGATCATACTATACAGAGCGAGCTCTCCCTCTCACACTGCAATCACACTATACAGAGCGAGCTCTCCCTCTCACAATAGATCACACTATACAGAGCGAGCTCTCCCTCACACTACAATCACACTATACAGAGCGAGCTCTCCCTCACACTACAATCACACTATACAGAGCGAGCTCTCCCTCTCACACTGCAATCACACTATACAGAGCGAGCTCTCCCTCTCACACTGCAATCACACTATACAGAGCGAGCTCTCCCTCACACTACAATCACACTATACAGAGCGAGCTCTCCCTCTCACACTGCAATCACACTATACAGAGCGAGCTCTCCCTCTCACAATAGATCATACTATACAGAGTGAGCCCTCCCTCTCACACTGCAATCACACTACACAGAGCGAGCTCTCCCTCACACTATACAGAGCGAGCTCTCCCTCTCACACTGCAATCACACTATACAGAGCGAGCTCTCCCTCTCACAATAGATCATACTATACAGAGCGAGCTCTCCCTCTCACACTGCAATCACACTATACAGAGCGAGCTCTCCCTCTCACAATAGATCACACTATACAGAGCGAGCTCTCCCTCACACTACAATCACACTATACAGAGCGAGCTCTCCCTCTCACAATAGATCATACTATACAGAGCGAGCTCTCCCTCTCACACTGCAATCACACTATACAGAGCGAGCTCTCCCTCTCACAATAGATCACACTATACAGAGCGAGCTCTCCCTCTCACACTGCAATCACACTATACAGAGCGAGCTCTCCCTCTCACAATAGATCACACTATACAGAGCGAGCTCTCCCTCACACTACACTCACACTATACAGAGCGAGCTCTCCCTCACACTGCAATCACACTATACAGAGCGAGCTCTCCCTCACACTGTACAGTGAGCTCTCCCTCACACTGCAATCACACTGTACAGATTACTCACAGACAGGGGCGTTTTAGCCGCGAGGCAAACAAGGCATTTGCCTTGGGCGGCATTTTTCAGGGGGCGGCAAAAAACGCCGCCCCCCAAATGCCCAGGCAAATGCTTTGTTAGCCTCGCGGCTAACTGACCGGCTGGGCTGGCGGGCGGCGCTGGGCAGGCGGCTGGCGAGGGAGCTGAGCAGACCGCTCAGGGGAAGATCTCCCTCGCCAGCCGCCTGCCTAGCCCAGCCGGCATCCACTGGACCACCAGGGAGGTAATGAACCCCTCCCCCCCAGCACTCCCAAAGGTAAGGGGGGGCTAAATAAAAATAAATTAAAAAATGTGTTAATGTGAGTGAGTGAGTGTGTGTCTGTTAATGTGTGTGTGTTTTGTTAGTGTGTGTGTGTCTGACTGTGTCTATTAGTGTGTATGTGTGTGTGTCTGACTGTGTGTCAGTGAGTGTGTGTTTGCCTGTGTGTGTGTGTGTGTGTGTCAGTGAGTGTGTGTCTGTTAATGTGTGTGTTTGTTAGTGTGTGTGTGTGTGTGTGTCTACTAGTGAGTGAGTGTGTCTGTTAGTGTGTGTGTCTGACTATGTTTGTCTGTTAGTGTGTCAGTGAGTGTGTGTGTGTCTGACTGTGTGAGTGTGTTTGCCTGTGAGTGTGTGTGTTAGTGAGTGTGTGTCTGTTAGTGAGTGTGACTGTTAGTGTGTGTGTGTTTCTGTTAGCGAGTGTATGCGTATCTGTCAGTGAATGTGTGTGTGTGTATTTAGAAGGCGGGGGGGGGTTGGTGCAGGGGGGGTTGGCGCGGGGGGAGGGGAGGGGCGCCTGCGTTTTGTCCTGCCTAGGGCAGCACAAAACCAGGATACACCACTGCTCACAGACCCCTGCGTACTATGAATCCCTCTGCTGATGTCACTACGGACATCGGCAGAGGGAATCCCTGGTGTGGTTTTAGGACTGGCATAATGGGTTGGATTAGAGGTAGTAAAAGGGTGCTAGATTATTGGTTGAAATTATAGGCTGGATTATGGGAAAAACTACACATCAAGGCTAATTGGACCTAGGTTTGTGATAATGGTTAAATTGAAAAGTGCCAAAATGCTCTTATTTACACAGCCTGGGGGTATACTTTCTACAAATATATACTACTACCGGGTCAGGAACACAAAAATTTATTTCTAACCCTGTAGTGTTAAAAACACCCACTCCTGCCCTCCCACCCACTTATCCCCTAAATATAGTATAATCTTACCTTTATTGCAGTCCGCTGCTACTGGCTCTGCCCATGATCTGTCTGCTTGGCTGAAATTGTCAGAAGTGTTGATCAAAGCTGTACCCCTGACTGGAACAGGGGACAAACAGCGGCACTTCCTAGCTGGAACAGGGGACAAACAGCAGCACTTCTGCCCACAGTCGCCGTGGCTTGACTGGGGCCCTGGAACCACTCCTTCCTGGAGCCGAATGGGGAATTAGCACAGCCTGGGAGCGCTAGTCCTTACTTTCCCTGTTGAATCCCCTGCATGCAGACACAGGGGTTAAATCTTCCTTCCCTCCAATAACAGGATGACACACAGTTTTGGAGTGTAAACTGGAATAGATTTTAATGGTGCCACACTAAGCCTTATATAACAATCCTCATGCAAGGGGTACGTCCACATGGACCTGATTGTGGACTGATTTGCAACTTCACAGACCAATAACAATAAGGTTACAAGACACGACACTCCCACACACAGCACACAATCCCTCCCGTCTGCCTGGGAGATAATTGGATCAGTAACTGTACTAATTCTAATCCAATTATCACCAAGCACAGAAAAAACACACTTTTTTTTAAAGTACCCCAAACACATAGTATCAAATGTCACATCTGGGTGACCAACATATCCAAAAATCACCCAGATCAGTTCAGGGGTTCAGAAATTCTATGGAAGTCATTTATTTGACCGACTGCAGGCATGGTCCCATGCCCAAAACAGTTCCAGAGAATCAGGACTTGCAGTCGTTCTAGTTCGGTAGTTTGAAAATGAACAAATTACCGAACAGAGTCAGTAGTCTTACCCTGGAGCTTGTTCCCCTCATCCAGACGCATGATCTCACCGAACAGTGCCCTTATAAGTTGAATAGAATCAAATGCAGGCGACGATGGAAGTCCAGCAGTGTTCGAGAGTTTCTTTATCAGAGTTAAGTTCCATGAGATTCATGCCCAAACACCGCTGCCTGCGTTCATTCGAACAAGATGGCCGCCACCTCGTGGTTGTCCATAGGAATTGCGGCCACCCAGACAAACAATTGGAACGTTTCTCATCGTAGTGTTCGAAGTTGTTAATAGGTGTTAACAAGCTCCCGGGTGGTCTCTGGTTCATGCAGTTGTTCAGTAAACGAACCATATAATCCCAATTGCACGAACAGAGACTTTTACATTATTTTTCACAGGGTCCATAGTCTGTGGGCAGCAGGGACGTATTAGCCGCGAGGCAAACAAGGCATTTGCCTTGGGCGGCATTTTTCAGGGGGCGGCAAAAAACGCCGCCCCCCAAATGCCCAGGGCAGATGCCTTGTTAGCCTTGCGGCTAACTGACATCCCGGGCGGCCGGCGAGGGAGCACTTCCCATGAGCTGACTGCTCAGCTCCCTCGCGCACCGCAAAGTGAGGCTGGGAGCCGGAAGATGACGTCATCTTCCGGTTCCCAGCCTCACTCTGCAGCCGACGCGCGAGGGAGCTGAGCAGTCAGCTCATGGGAAGTGCTCCCTCGCCGGCCGCCCACCTGTTAGCGCCGCCCGCCCGACCTGCAGCCACTGGACCACCAGGGAGAGAGACCCCCCCCCAGCACTCCCAAAGGTAAGGAGGTTGGGGGGGATTTAAATAAAAAAAAAGTTAATGTGTGTGTTTGTGTCTGACTGTGTCTGTTTGTGGATGTCTGTTTGTGGGTGTGTGTTTGTGGGTGTGTGTGTGTGTGTGTGTGTGTGTGTGTGTGTGTGTGTGTGTGTGTGTGTGTGTGTGTGTGTGTGTGTGTGTTTGTGTCTGACTGTGTTTGTGAGTGTGTCTGACTGTGTATGTGTGTGTTTGTGTCTGACTGTGTTTATGTCTGTGTATGTGTCTGACTGTGTTTGTGTCTGTGTCTGACTGTGTGTGTGTGTGTGTATGTGTCTGACTGTGTGTGTGTGTGTTTGTGTCTGACTGTGTGTGTCTGACTGTGTGTGTGTGTTTGTGATACGACTGTGTTTGTGTGTGTGTGTGTCTGACTGTGTGTGTTTGTGTCTGACTGTAATCATCTGTGTGTTTGTGTATGTGTCTGACTGTGTGTGTGTGTGTATTTAGAAGGTGGGGCGGGGGGAAGGGTTGGGTGGGGGTGGCGCGGGGGGGAGGGGGGCGCCTGAGTTTTGTCCTGCCTAGGGCAGCACAAAACCAGGATACACCACTGGTGGGCAGGAGGCTGACGAGCAGGCTCCTCCAGGAGCTCGTGGCAAACTCAGGTAAAAAGGGGAGTTTGTCACAAAAGCCAATCACAATGCTTTTCCATCAATGCATCTCTATGAGGAAAGTTCAGTGTCTGCATGCCGAGGATGGAGACAGTGAATGTCAGTCACACTGTGCAGCACTGCCCCAGGAAGCACATCTAGGTTGTATACATGTACAGCGCTGCAGCATATTCTGGGCCTCTGTTCAGCAGAATGGTTTCCCTGTCAGGGTAGGATCCAGAGCCTAATCTCGGGAGGGGCACTGGTAGCTTATTTAAAGAAACAATCCAGGCACAATAACCACTACAGCACGCTGTAGTGGTTATGGTGCCCTCCCAGGGTAAGTAGTCAAACTGTTTGGAGAGGGTCTGTAGTAGAGGATAGGGGCAGGTGTGTGTGGCGCAATGTATGTGTGTGTTAGGGGTGCAATCTGTGTGGGGTTAAGTGTGTGTGAGGGGTACAGTGTGTGTACGGGGCTGCATTGTGTTTGTGAAGGATGTAGTGTGTGTGAGGGGTCTAGTGTGTGTTTGGGGGGCAGTGTGTGTGTATTGAGGGGTACATAGTGTGTTTGAGGGGGGCAGTGCAGGTGAGGGGTACAGTGTGTGTATGGAGGCAGTGTGTGTACGGGGGGCAGTGTGTGTGTGTGTGTGTGTATAGGGGAGAATTATTGTGGGTCTGTGGGGTTTGAGGGTAGATTAATAAATATTGTTTGTTTTTTTATTTTAAAAATAATAATTTTGATATCCCCCCTCCCTGCTTGCCTTTGCCTGGGAGGAGTGACAGTACTATTCCCTGGTGGTCCTAGTGGTGAAGCCCTGGTGGTCCCAGTGGTGAGAGTTCACTCTCGGGAGATACGGATAGTTGCCGTGGTAACTGCGGCAACACTCAAAACTCGCGAGAGAAGAACTCGAGGAGCTGCAGGTTAGAGGTCCCCCGGGTCCTCTCTCCCACCCCTGCCGGATGCCAGCATTACACTGCTAGCGGGCCGGAGAGGGAGATCTCTGATCTCCCCTCCGGTCCTGCAGAGCCAGCAGGGGAAAGGGAGGCACGGTTCCCGGTACTAAGATCAAATAATTATAGCACCAGGGAAATGTTTTGCACACAGTTTGTTAACCGCTGGTATATTCTATATTTTAAGCTGTATACCATACATTTTGATGAAGTTGTTCTGGTGACTAGCTTGAATCTTAGCGAGCGAAATGTTACAAAGTTTTAGCTTTAAAACAATAATTCACTCCTTTCAGTATTTGTTTTATAACTTTCTAAATATTAACTGAAATTCTAGACATCATGGGCATTTTAACAGTCAGGACTAATTATTGAGAAATTATTTTGAATTAGTTTTCTTTAGTTACACTTTGTGTATAGAAATAAACTGTAATGAAATCATTTAAATGTGAGACTGAGAAAAAAAACATCTCTTTAAATGTGTTTTATTCCCATGTAATACTCATAGGGTATCAAAAGTAAGTCCAATTTCTCCTTGAAATGACGTAGAATATGTCTGGGTGCAGCTAACCAGCAAGGAGACATTGTGGTAGAATAAACACATGGCAAAACGCCAAGAAGGTCTTGGTCACAAACTCATCACATCTCAAAAAGCCTTGGTCCTTAACCCCTTAAGGACTAAACTTCTGGAATATAAGGGAATCATGACATGTCACATGTCATGTGTCCTTAAGGGGTTAAAGGGTTAAATTATTCTGTTCACAATTACATTGGACTTGGCGTTTGCCACCATTTCTTACTGGATTCCCATTTCCACAGACAGAAGATAAGAGGAATTAATGTAGCCATTCCTTCATAACGTTTACTTTTGTAGCGTGTTAAACACCTTAAATAAAATCAAATCCATAGCTTCTTAATCAACGTAAAGATGTGGAAATAACAAACTCAGAATATGTCAGTCATAGGTTTTTATTGGGCATTTTTACACAGGCCATAAGTTCCCATAAAGTATGCTTTGTCCTAAGGAGTTCTATACGTACACCTAACAATCAGAATGATCTGTTAATACAGAGAGCGAGATAATACAGATTGGATACTAAACGGACAGCTGGCGATGTTCACACGGATTAGTGCCATGAATTTAAAGGGCCAGTATCTGGCTGCTTCATTACCATTATTTTTAGAATTTATCGTTTACATCAGGAAAGAGCGTGTCCCTTCACATGTAGAAATTACAACCTTACAGAGGAACAGTTTACTTTGCAGGATCTGACATTCTGGACGTCTCTACATTGTCTGGCCGCTTCTGCCAAAAAGTAAAGAATAACAATTAAAAACTTCAAAAATCACTTACAACAGTAGCCAGAGCTTTGAGAATGTTCTGTTCGAGTCTAGACCATTTGGCTATGAAACCCTCCAGGTCCTCACACTTCCTTAGTCTTCTGTGCCCATACATTATATTACTTGGGCTGCGACTACCTGGTATCCTGCCAGAGGGGCCTGATCCAACCGCTAGGGAACTTATTGCAGGAATGTTGTGTGAAAAAACAGGTTTAGTTCCTCACAATTATCACCCCAAGTGTAACCAAGGGGAGAAACATCTCACACATTGTCCCAGCGCAGACCATTTATAAAATCAGTGGCTTCCTTTAGTAATGAGCCCCAAACATGATACATGATGGGGTTTATAATGGTTGGAGAGGCGCAAATAAAGACACAGAAAAGTAGTAAAGACAATGTGTGTAAACACTTATTTGGCTCCTGGTCTCTTATGATTCCCTATGTCTAACCATCCCATGGCTACTGGTATAGTTGGGTCATGAAATTCGAGATCTAGTACAATGAAAAAGATCCCCCATGTGATCCATTAACTAACAGAGTAAAAACGATGGAATAAATCGCAGATTCTGTGTACAAATAAAACTACTGTCAGGAAATTACCGATAATAACGCAATCACTGCCATTTGTTTAGTTTTCTTATAACAAGATAGGTAGAGCGTGGTTAATGTAAAACATTCATTCCTTTCTCCAAGTTTAATTCATTAATAATTACCAATCCTGAACTAATGCACAAATTACGAAACATTGTAATAATCAGCACATTATGAAACTGTATCGGGAAACAAAACACTTGTACTTACTCAAAGTTTAAATATTCGATGGATACAAAACCAACTAAAATATTAAAAGAATCAAGAATTAATACAACAAGCAAAAACAAACAGTAGAAACCTCTCCTTTACTCTGCATTGTGTGATGAACGCAAGACTAGAGTAAAATTCGATATTTAAAGGATATGGAGCTAATGTAAAACGCTCCGTCAGGTTGGAAGGTCCATACTGTGCATTATTTAGCTCCCCACGAGATTTCGAGAGATATGGTAAGCTGAGTGTGAGCCAAGCATTTTGCAGATAATATTTTTTGTATATTGTTAATAAATCAACAAAGGAAAACATACTATGAGTACCTCTAGGATTCCTAAAACATAAGCACATGTACAGAAGGAGTCCTGTTAGAGCAGGAAGAGGCGCCAGGAGTCAGAGGGGGTTCTTTGTCCCATAAACACCTATAAAACCCCCACACAGAAAGGAGGGATTGTATGTGTATCTTTTTTCCCCCAATATTTATAGAAGTCAATTGTAGATATCTAATATCGATTTAACCCACAACGTCCAGAGAGGAAGAAGGTAATAACTTACATTTGCCCACAGCATTGCGACAGATGATGAGATTTTCTGAAGAAACGTCAATGACATCGAGCCTTTCTCCCGCCTTCACCAGCAGACCATATTTACCTTTTGGCGAGGTAATCGCTTGCTCGGTGACTATCGCCGTATTACTGACCACAATATCTCCAGAGTACTGTATAGAAATACATATAATCAGTGATTGGCATTGTACAAAGAGCTAGCACTCCAATATTAAAGAAATGAAGAACCCAAATGTATCTGCACAGAGATATAACCAGGGTCTAGTTGCTATAAAATAACACTGGATACATTCCACGCCGGCTTCAATGGTCTCATGTTTTATAATTAAACCGTGCGGAATGTTCCTAGCTCGCTTGTGTGATGCTTAGTGCTTGTTTTTAACTGAAAAAACACCTTAGACACAACTGGGTGATCCCTAAATCCTGGACTGGTAGGGGGTACTTAAGGGCTGGGTTGGGAACCCCTGCTTTAGGACATGGAGTGATAACGTGTCCCTGAGGTATTATTATTAACACAGCACAGACTAGTAATTATATTAATTAATATTAAAAGCAAGCGGTGAGACACACATGTGAATGTATCAGTATATTGATCATTTAGTCAGATGCTGAGAATGTCGACTTGTCACTATCTCGGAGATATACAGGACTCTTCATATAAAATGATTCACATCAATCGGTCCTTTTTATTTTATTTATTGGTTTATTTTTGGTCAAATCCCGTACCTTGAACTTGTCACGAAAAATCTTCTCTTCTTTGGCAAATACTTTACTCATCTTTCTGCAAAATGAAAGAGTGAACAACTGTTTTCAGTTATTTAGTAATAAATTAACCAAAATTGTTTTATTCGGAAATTATCTTTCAGAAAATGGTATTTATTGCGTTAACAGAACATTAATTGGTCTGTTTTCAGTACGTTCCTAGACGAGATCGAGGTCTATGACCGGACAAGAAAAACACAGCGATAGAACATATGGGGGAATATCGGAAGTAGATGAATCTAGGGTAAAACTCCTGAGGCCGGACAGTCCCAACATAGGGATACACCTATATTACACCTATAGATCAGCAAATGCAGAGGTATGGAGTGAATGTGAGACAGGGGCAGGGAGACAGAAACTGGGAGTGAGGAGGGGGGATGTGGAGAACTATTAAGATGTTAGGGAGGACAATGTGGAGAGAAGGACAGGAAGCATCAGGAAAGATATGGAGAGAAAGAGACAGAAAGTGGGGGGGAAATATGGAGAGAGAGAGAAGGGAGGGAGAATATAACGAGAGATACAGACAGAGGAAGGGGGGGAATATAGAGAGACAGAAGGTGGGGGATATGGATAGAGAGAGAGAGACAGACAGAAGAAGGGGAGAATATAGAGTGAGACAGAAGGTGGGGAAAATAAGGAGAGAGAGAGAGAGAGACAGAAGGTGGGGAGAATAAGGAGAGAGATAGAAGGTAGGGGAGAATATGGAGAGAGACACAGAAGGTGGGGGAGAATATGGAGAGAGACAGAAGGTGGGGGAGAATAAGGAGAGAGAGACAGAAAGGTAGAAGGAGAATATGGAGAGGACAGAAGGTAGGGAGAATAAGAGAGAGACAGGAGGAGAATATGGAAGAGACAGAAGATGGGGAGAATAAGAGACAGAAGATGGGGAGAATATGAAGAGACAGAAAGATAGGAGAATATGAAGAGAGAGACAGAAGGTGGGGAGAGTAGGAAGAGACAGAAGGTGGGGGAGAATTAGGAGAGAGACAGAAAGGGAGGGAGAATATAGAGAGACAGAAAGTGGGAGAATATGAAGACAGAAGATGGGAGAATGTAAGAGACAGAAAGGTGAGGGAGAATTAGGAAGAGACAGAAGGTGGGGAGAGTAG